TCCTCTGCAGCATGGGGCATGGGTCACTTGCAGGTTTAAACCAGTGTAAATGGTGGATTCTCTGTAACTTGACAGCTTTAATCCATAATTTCAGAATGTCAGTAACTCAAGCAGAGGTTAGGGGTATATTAGAGGAGTCGGTGGGTGGAGTCCTTTGGCCTGAAAGGTGCAGGAGGTTGAACTAGATGACCACGCTGGTGCTTTCTGCCCTTAAAGGCTCTGAGTCTGAATCGGAGAGGGAAGTAAACACATTTAAAATTAATAAACCAAACATTGTAATACCAGGATGACTCTAACAGCTCAAGATCAAAGAGGCACATAAGACCAAAATATCATGTATTAATTAAAGTTTCTTTACCTCAGGGAGTATAACTCATGTTTTTAGAATTCTTGTGGTTGTCAAGCCCTCTTGGGGTTCTAGATGTGTGCTCATTATGTTTTGAAGGCCAAAACTATAAATGGGTTTAACAAAGCATTAGATCAGTTCCTCAGGCTAGGTGCATGAGGTATTAGCCAAGAGAACCAGGAGTGCATCCCCATGCTCTGGGTGTCCCTAAACCTCTGACTGTCACTCAGTGATTGCCTGTTGTGTTCATTCCCTCAGAAGCACCTGGCACTGGCCGCTGTCAGAAGACAGGATCCTGTACTAGATGGACTATTCGTCTGACCCACTACAGCAGTTCTAATGTTCAGCAAAAATTACAATCAATTTTTGCCTTTGACATGGATGTTACATGAGAGAGTATACGGCCTTTATTGAATATTTGCGAATCGAGTTCTACACACAAGCAAGGGCATGCAGAAAAAAAAACAAAGGGCTGGATCGAGAGGCAAAACAGCAGTTGCAAAAGGCAATCGCCATTGAATAAAAAATTTTTTTGAGACCAGCCCAGAAATTCAGTCAGACTGGAAGTCAGCTGACCCAGCAGAATAACCTTCTGCTCTAAAAATAAGAAAAAAAAGTTAGAATTAAAAATTCCAAATTAGAAATCACAGTAAAAAACCAGAGCAAGTGCAATACTAGAAACACAGATGTCACTGCTAAAACCAGCAAGTACTTACTGCTGCATATTTTCGAGGAGGACTTGTTGGTAAAATATAAATTAAATAGCACAATGACCTGCATCTGCACAATAACAAAGCAAAATGATGAAGTGATAAAAGTAATTCAGGGAATCCCAGCAGCAGATAAGATAAATTGGTGAACTGCTAGGACACTTTATCCAGCCAGATGCACTGATAAGGGGATTCTTTGGTTCTGTAAAGGATTTCACTGAATGAAGTATCAGGGGGTAGCCGTGTTAGTCTGGATCTGTAAAAAGTAACAGAGTCCTGTGGCACCTTATAGACTAACAGACGGATTGGAGCATAATCTTTTGTGGGTGAATGCCCACTTCATCGTCTGACAAAGTGGGTATTCACCCACGAAAGCTTATGCTCCAATATCACTGAATCAAGTCTCCTACAGCACCCCCACACTCTGTGTGTCCCAGAGCCGCTGAAGGGACTGACCCGCACCCAGGCTCTCACTCCTATTAGCACTTGCAGGGGCCAATCCAGCTACAGGAGAGTGAGCACCCCTGGGAGCAGGGAAGTGACCAAGCCTCCCTGCCAGAGGGTGGGCAGAGGGGGAAGAAAGGGAAAGAGGAGAGAGACCCCGAAAGGGGATGAGGAGAAATAAGTGGGGAAAGCAGCACCCAGCTCTTTTCTCCTGCATCACCCCTGAGTAGATTGCATCTGAGCTCTGGGTAAATATCACCCCCGTGTCCAGGGTCTCCCAGATCCCCCTGCCTCCCAATAGAATGCACATAGGGGTCTCCTTCCTGCCAGGTGTAATTACAAGCAGCTGTAGGTGTCACCCTTATGCCAGGATTGGAGACAGACAGCAAAGCTTGGGAACATGCGTCTGTATTTACAGTCCAGTGTGACAATCCCCCTCCAGGAGGTGTTTGTTCTCTACTCCTGCTGGATGGGCACAGAATGGGGCAGCAAAAGGCTTGTTTCAGTTTCTGGTGCTGCACATTCCTTAACTTAGGACAGTATGAAATGAAGAAAATGGAGATTGAATTAAAGGGAAATATACAAATACAAGTTCCAGCCCCTGTTGCTTATTGAAAGAAATGACTCAATAGCCCAGTTACATGTTTTATTAACACGAACAAATAAATCCAAGAGCACACATCACTAAGGCTAAATGACCCCAAACTGGGATTTGCGAACCCCTGGGGGTTCGCAGAACGTTATAGGGGGTTCGCAAGAAAAAAATCATTAATGTTGGCCAGAGGACCCCGGCATTGGAGGCAGCATGTGGGACCCGGTTGCAGGGCAGAAAACCAGAGCCCCAGGGAGAGCGGGGCCGGGCAGTTGTGGGCGGCAGCCCGAACCCTGCCCCAATCAGCGGGGAAGCTGGCAGCCCGAACCCCAGGGAGAGCGGGGCCAGGCAGTTGGGACTGGCAGCTCGAGCTCTGCTCCCCGTCAGCGGGAGAGCCGGCAGCCCGAACCCCAGCGCTCCAGCGGGGCTGGCAGCCCCGAGCCCCAGGGAGAGCGGGACCGGGCAGTTGGGGCCAGCAGCCCGAGCCCCAGAGGTGAGCTTTTCACCTGCGGCTAACAGGGATCTTCCCTGATACCAGCCACGCGGTGGGGGGAGGGATAAAGCGATCATCCCAGAGAATTGGATGGGGGGGGGTAGTTTGTTTTCTGCTGCTGAAGGTTAACAGGAAAACCGCAGCACTCAACGAGCTTTGCTCGGTATGTGGGAAAGGAGTGCGCAGAAGCCGAAAGACAATGGCTTACCATGGCCGCATGCAAGCCGAATTCTGTTGCCTGGACCTGCGTCTGCGATCTCTAGCAGCAAAGCAACAGCCACTCAATATTAAGAGGCAAATTGCGACCTTGCACAGAAATCACATGTGCTATGTAATGTGAATAGTGTTGTTCACTGTGAAAAGAGTATAAGCATTGTTCTGTAAAATATATCTTTTTAAAAAATTTTCTCCTTTTTTCCCCTACCTCCAGCAGCTGCAAATTTTTCAAGCCTCCCTCCTCCATCCCGAAGGCTATCTCAGATAAGGCATCGGAAAAAGAGGACGCAAGAGGAGATGTTCGCAGAAATCATGGAATCCACCCGCAATGAAAGAGCTCATCTGAATGAGTGGAAGGACACGGTTTCAAAGTATAGGAAAGATGCCAGTGAATGTGAGGACAGGAGGGACCAACATGAGGACACGAGGGACGCTCGAGATGAGAGGTGGCGGCAGGAAGATCAGAGGAGGCAGGATGCAACGCTGGGGCTGCTGCGTGAGCAAACAGACATGCTCCGGCGTCTGGTGGAGCTTTAGGAATGGCAGCAAGATCACAGACTGCCGCTGCAGACCCTGTATAACCACCCTCCCCCCTCACCATGTTCCATAGCCTCCTCACCCAGACGTGTAAGAACGTGGGGAAGGCGTCCGTGCACCCTCCCATTCCACCCCAGTGGACAGCCCAAGCAAAAGGCTGTCATTATTTTAACCTTTTTTTAGTGGCCTTTTCCTTCCCTCCAATCCTCCTCCCAAACCCCACCCAGGCTACCTTCTCAGTTCTCTCCCTCTTTTTATAATTAATTAATAAAGAATACATGATTTTAAAACAATAGTGACTTTATTTGCTTTGAAAGCAAGCTGTGATCGAAGGGGGAGGGTGGGTTGCCTACAGAGAATGAGTCAATATAGGGGGCGGGTTTTCATGAAGGAGAAACAAACAGAACTTTCACACGGTAGCCTGGCCAATCATGAAACTGGTTTTCAAAGCTTCTCTGATGCACCGCGCTTCCTGGTGTGCTCTTCTAATCGCCCTGGTGTCTGGCTGCGCGTAATCAGCAGCCAGGCGATTTGCCTCAGCCTCCCACCCCGCCATAAATGTCTCCTCCTTACTTTCACAGAGATTGTGGAGCACACAGCAATAACAATGGGGATATTGGTTTGGCTGAGGTCTGAGCGAGTCATTAACGATCGCCAGCAACGTTTTAAATGACCAAATGCACATTCCACCACCATTCTGCACTTGCTCAGCCTGTAGTTGAACAGCTCCTGACTCCTGTCCAGGCTGCCTGTGTATGGCTTCATGAGCTATGGCATTAAGGGGTAGGCTGGGTCCCCAAGGATAACTATAGGCATTTCAACATCCCCAATGGTTATTTTCTGGTCCGGTAAGTAAGTCCCTTACTGCAGCTGTTTAAAGAGAGTAGTGTTCCTGAAGACGAGGGCGTCATGAACCCTTCCTGGCCAGCCCACGTTGGTGAAACGTCCCCTGTGATCCACCAGTGCTTGCAGCACCATTGAAAAGTAACCCTTGCGGTTTATTTACTGGGTACCCTGGTGCTCCAGTGCCAAGGTAGGTATATGGGTTCCATCTATCGCCCCACCACAGTTAGGCAATCCCATTGCAGCAAAGCCACCCACTATGGCCTGCACATTTCCCAGAGTCACTACCTTTCGTAGCAGCAGCTCAGTGATTGCTTTGGCTACTTGCATGACAGCAGCCCCCACAGTAGATTTGCCCACTCCAAATTGATTCCCAACTGACCGGTAGCTGTCTGGCATTGCAAGCTTCCACAGGGCTATCGCCACTCGTTTCTCAACTGTGAGGGCTGCTCTCATCCTGGTATTCTGGCGCTTCAGGGCAAGGGATAACAAGTCACAAAGTTCCATGAAAGTGTCCTTACGTATGCGAAAGTTTCGCAGCCACTGGGAATCTTCCCACGGCTGCAACACTACGCTGGCCCACCAGTCTGAGCTTGTTTCCCGGGCCAAGAATCGGCATTCCACGGATAGAACCTGCCCCATCAACAACATGATCTCCAAAGCGCCGGGACCCGCGGTTTGAGAGAAGTGTGTGTCCATGTCCATGTCCTCATCACTCTCGTCGCCGCGCTGCTGTTGCTGCCTCCTCCTTGCCTCGTATTTCTCTTCCTGGTTCAGCATAAACTGCACGATAATGCGCGAGGTGTTTACAATGTTCATAACTGCTGTCTTGAGCTGAGCGGGCTCCATGCTTGCCGTGGTATGGCGTCTGCTCTGTTCACCCAGGAAAAAAAGGTGCATAACGGTTGTCTGCCATTGCTTTTATGGAGGGAGGGGTAAGGCTATACTCAGAACAACCTGCGACAATGTTTTTTGCCCCATCAGGCACTGGGATCTCAACCCAGAATTCCAATGGGTGGGGGAGACTGCGGGAACTATGGGATAGCTATGGGATAATTACCCACAGTCAAACGCTCCGGAAATCGACGCTATCCCTGGTACATGGATGCACACCGCCGAATTAATGTGCTTAGTCTGGCTGCATACATTCGACTTTATACAATCTGTTTCCAAAATTCGAATTCCGTAAATTCAGATTAATCCCGTAGTTTAGACATACCCTTTGGCCAGGTCTAGTCAAGGGATTTATTACAGTTCTCGCCCATGTGGATTCTCTGATGTTTAATAAGGTTTGAGCTCCGACTGAAGCTTTTCCCGCACTCAGAGCATGTGTAGGGCGTGTCCCCTGTGTGGATTCTCTGATGTGTGATAAAGGCAGAGCTCTGACTGAAACTTTTCCCGCACTCAGAGCATGTGTAGGGTGTGTCCCCTGTGTGAATTCTCTGATGTGTGATAAGGTGTGAGCTCTGACTGAAGATTTTTCCACACTCAGAGCATGGGTAGGGCCTCTCTCCTGTGTGGATTCTCCTATGCGTGCTCAGGGCAGAGCTGTGATTGAAGCTTTTCCCGCACTCAGAGCATCTATATGGTTTTTCACCAGTGTGGATTCTCCTATGTGCGCTCAGGGCACAGCTCTGACTGAAACTTTTCCCGCAGTCAGTGCATGTGTAGGGTTTCTCTCCTGTGTGGATTCTCTGATGTATGGTAAGGTTTGAGCTCCGATTGAAGCTTTTCCCACACTCGTAGCATGTGTAGGGCCTCTCACCTGTGTGGATTCTCTGATGTGTGATAAGGGAAGAGCTCCGACTGAAGCTTTTCCCGCACTGAGAGCATATGTAGGGCGTCTCCCCTGTGTGGATACTCTGATGTGTGATAAGGGCAGAGCTCCGACTGAAGCTTTTCCCGCACTCAGAGCATGTGTAGGGTGTGTCCCCTGTGTGGATTCTCTGATGTGTGATAAGGGCAGAGCTCTGATTGAAGCTTTTCCCGCACTCAGAGCACGTGTAGGGCTTCTCTCCTGAGTGGATTCTCTGATGTCTGATAAGGTGTGAGCTCCGACTGAAGCTTTTCCCGCACTCAGAGCACTTGTAGGGCATCTCTCCTGTGTGGATTCTCCTATGTGTACTCAGGGTAGAGCTCTGATTGAAGCGTTTCCCACACTCAGAGCATTCATAAAGTTTCTCACCCGTGTAGATTGTGTGATGTGTGATAAGGGCAGCGTTCAAATTGAAGCTTTTCCCACACTCATGGCATGTGTAGCGTGTCTCTTCCAAGTTGATTCTGTCGCGTGTTGTAAGGTCTGAGTGGTTACTGAAGTTTTCCTCTGGCCTGTCCTGAGTCTCACAGGCTTTTGCTTTTCCTCGGAGTGCACAACTCCCGGAAACATTCCCTTTGGATCTTCCTGATAACATTCCATGTGGTTTTACTTGCTCAACATCTTCCTGCTGGGGTTTCTCCTCATTCTCACTCATCATCCCATCACCTGAATGGGAGACAAAGAGAATCCAGACATAGGTCACTCCCTGTACCAGAAAGAAAGGAAATCTCAGAGAGAGGAATGGAAAAAGGTATGAACAAACCACAATATGTGTGGGAGAGATCAAACCTATCAGGAGCTGATTTTCCCCAACCCTTCCCCAGAGGAGAAAGGAAGAGATCAGTTTTGGTCCGCATCTCACCAGAACACTCAGGGAAAAGCGAGATCGGGAAGGGATCTGCTGCCAGTTGTCAGTCAGAATAGGAGGGAATCCATGAGTGACATCCGCCATAATGATTCCACATCTGCAGGGAACAATCCTAAACTTGGGAGAGCTCACAGGGTCTTTGTAGGGCATCCCAAATGTTGCCTGCATTCCCAAACAGTTGTTGAGTTTGTTTAACTAATTTCTCACCTCTCGGAAGCTCTTCTTTCTCAGAGCCCTGGAGGTCCAAGATCCACGGCTCTTCCCCTCGTTCCAGCTGTGAGTTCACATCAGGTTTGGAAACTGGAAACTCTACTACATTCAAAGAAAACAAGGGAGGTCAGTGGAATTTATGGGATACTTCGCATAAAGAATATTCCATGGTTTTAACCCAGCTCATTTTTAAGCAGTAACATCCCAAAGCCACCTTCCTTGGCTCAAAGTGGCAGGAGAGTTATTATTATAATAAATCATATTTATTACCTTAGTACCTCAGGACCAACTAACAGTGCCACTGTGCTAGGCAAATTTCAAACCCAGAATAGTAGCTGGTCCATGCCTTGAAGAATTTACAATCAAAATAGACAAGACGGACACAAAATGGGGGAAGAGGCAGAACCCACTGTTAGAATAGAGATATTCAGGCCTACCTGTAAAGCCTGTACTTTAAGAACTTAGGTGTATTTTTATCACTTAGCTAGTTACTGGGGTATAAAAACAAAGAATCAAAATCACAGTCCACCTGTGTCTGGGCCTTCTCTCACTAGGATAGTCTGAGGCCTTGTTCTCAGGCTAAGGCCTTTGGCTAAGCAGCAGAGGCAGCCATAAGCTGGGAAGCGTAGGGTCACATCCTCACCTCCCAAACCAGTCACACTGAACTAAGGTGGTATTGGGCTGTTGGGAAGACGATCCTGTCCCGATAGCGCCCATCACCACCTGATAAAGAAACAGACCTTAAGATGGTTAAAGAAAACTTAGTTTGATAGCATCCTGTCTGGCAAGAAATCACTTATCAATGGTTGTGGTTGTGAAACCCTCATTTCCGTATTGTTTTATCTTTATGGCCACCGCTTTGACATTGTCAATCAGTGTGGTTCTCTAATTGTTTCTGTCTGCTGTATAATTAATTTTGCTAGGTGTAAGTTAATTAGGGTATTGGGATATAATTGGTTAGAAAATTATGTGACAATATGTTAGAATTCGTTAGTTAAATTTCAGTACAATGACTGGTTAAGGTATAGCTGAGAATATTATTATATAAACAGGGTCAAACAGGAGGGGGAAGGGAAATTGGCATCAATGTTTGTTAAGAGGGGGAAAGGGAACAGGGAATGGGGACAAAGGCAAGGCTCTGTGGCATCAGAGCTGGGAAGGGGGACACGAGGAAAATGCTCTGCGGCATCAGAGCTGGGAAGGGAACACTGGAGAACAGACTATCGCGTATAGAGATAAGCCCGACTGGTGTGAAGGGCTTCGGAATATGCCTGCTTGGAAACTAAACCCAATAAACATCGCATTCTCTGTGCTTCGGACTTCTGGTCTTTTGCTGCTTGCTGTCTGTGTGACAAGAACCAGGCAAGTGGGAGGGTGAAGGGAAAGCCCGCTAACAAAACTGACAGGCCCTGATAACCAAGAGGTAAGCCTTTAAGGAAGGTTTTAATACACTTTGGAACCGATCAGGGATTCCCACGAGGACCGATGAGGGGGCGATGGTAAATACACATTTAGATCCTTTTCTTGTTTTTATATCTTTTCCAAAGAAGGCACACTGGCATACTGTCATGGATCCATAGGATCTGTGCAATGCCCTGGCTTTTAAACAGTCTTTGGGAGGTGCCCCCTGAGTGCACTAGACCTCCAAGGGGTCCCACTCTTCCACAAGAATAGGCCACGTAGCTTCAACTCCTAAGACTGAGCCTCTGGCTTCAACACTCCTATTTCAACCTGTGAGCTCTGCCAGCAGGTCCAGCTGAACGACACTCCTGGTCAGAGACTGTTCCTCAGTCAATGCACAGAGCAAATGTTTGCTGTGACACTGGGCAGACTTTTAAAACATAGCAGAGCTTATTAGTCAACTGAGCATTGGAAAGTCCTTAGATTAGGACAGAGAAGCAAAGAAGACAATATAGTCCGTACTGGCCAATGCCCTTGAGCCCTGCTGCTGTAGAAAACACTTTGGTTTCCTTTCACTGTGACTGTTCATTTGTCTTCGCTCCGGTAGAGCTTCCTGTGTCTGCGAGCCCAGTTCTTCCGGCTCCCAAAAACATAATGAGTCCATGTATGCTTCACTCAGCCAAACAGATATCCTCCCATGGACAGGTAATTATTCCCTTGTCTCTGTCAGGTATTCCATTGATGTAGGCTGGTCCCAGCCAGTCCTTAATAACCCATTCATATCACCCCATGACAGCTACATGACGAAACACCTCATGTCTCCTTCTCTTTATAATCATAGCAATACCAATCACAGAGGGAAACAGAGGTGTGTATTGGCATCATACAAGTATCACCAAAATTCCCACCTCTATCGCACACACATACTGCTCACAGCCCTTGGAGAGAAAGCAAAGCACAGGAACTGGACCTTAGTCCAGTGAACACAGTGGAGGATAAGCTGCAATCCTCACACCTTAATCAAAAAGGAGAGGCGTGTGGGTCCCTACCCATAGAGAGTGGCTGGCGAGAGGCCTGATACAGGAGCGCGCATTGCTTGAGCAGACCATGGAGGCGGGTCAAAGGCTTCGCTATCCCAGAACTGTGACATCGCAAAAGCACATTTTGGGGAATTAAGAACTCTAGTGACTCAGGTGTAATGGGAGGGAGAATTAAACTCCCCCAGCATGTGGAGAAGGCTGGGGAATTAAACACTAAAATTCAGGAGCAACAGCCTCTAATACTTTCAGAAAAGGAGAACGTAAAACAAGAACTGGGCCATGAAACCTAGGAGGGACAGGCTCAAAGATCCAAGGAGCCTGGAGGGAAGACAGCTTGTGGCTGCTGCAGAAGGGGGGAGGGGGGACAAGACTCTCTCCAAACTCTCACTCTTGCTGACCCCGACCTGATTTTATGATCTATGACCTAGTCTCATGTCTTGTGGGCAATTTTATACGTGCTAGAGGTAAAATGTTGTGATCAGAGTATTGCTTATTAGCTTGGAACATGCGTGGAGGGGCAAGGAGGTGAACATATATAAATGGGTTATTAAGGGCAGGGACTACACTACAGCCGGGATCAAAGCTCTGAGATCGATCCACCGGTGGTCAATGTAGTGGGTCTAATAAAGACCCACCAAATTGACTACAGATCTCTCTGCAGTCGAACACTGTACTCTACCCTGACGAGAAGAGTAAGGTAAGTAGACCCTGCGGTCAAGAGTTAAAATAATAATAATATTTGGGGGGGAAACGTACAATTAAATGAAACTGAACAGAAATAAAACTGGAGTGTAAGCTCTAAAGCAACAACGCTTGGATAGGGATTCAGGGTTAAAGGTCTGGGATCCCCCAAGCTCTAGATCCCCAAACCTCTCCTCCCTCCCTCCCACATACCCACCCAGCCCACTTCCTGGGTGCCCTTCCACCACACTACTCTCAACTTCGTCCCATTACTCTCAGCCGGCACCACCACCTCACGGCAGCACCAGGTGAATCGAAGCTCTGGGAGGCACATGTTAACACAGTCCCACCCCACCTTGCCGAGAGCAGCCAGGAAGCATTAGAGGGTAGAAAGAGAACCTTTGTGTCTCCCAGCTGACAGACGGAGGCAGGGTTTTCACATTTACCACATACCTACTAGCCAGAGCTTGATATAGGAGATGGGGCTGTCTCTGGACCCTGCTGGTGGCTCCCTGCTAGGAATCCCAACACTCTCCAAATAAAATACATGGAAGAAAGGGGAAGTCAATAGTAAAGAATATAAGTTAGAAGGTCAGAATTGTAGAAAATGGGTAAGGGAAGCTATCAGAAATCAATGATCCATCAATGACAATAAGAAGGAAGTTTTTAAAAGTATATTAAGTACAACATAAATCCTAACAATGGTAGTGGTAAATTACTAGATGGAAATGGTAGAATTATCAAAAATAATGCAGAAGAGGTAAAAGTGTTCAATAAATATTTCTCTCCTGGATTTGGAGAAAAACAGATGATGTAACTCTTATCATAAGATGTTGACACCGACAGCCTTTCCATTCCAACAGTAACTCACGAGGACGTTAAACACCATCTATTAAAGTTAGATGTGTTTAAATCAGTGGGTCCAGATAACAAGAGTTTTGAAAGAGCTGGTGGAGGAGCATGATGGACTGTTAATGTTGATTTTAATTAGGACTTGGAACACTCGGGAAATTCCATAAGACAGGAATAAAGCTAATGCTGTGCCAATATTTAAAACGTGTAAAAGAGATGACCTCTCTAATTACAAGAGTGTTAGTCTGAAATTGATACTAGGCAAGAAAGATACAAAATACACAAGGCATACATTAAATAGATTAAAAACTGTGATTTTAAATGGGGAACCATGGTCGAGTGGATTTCTTTCTAGTGGGTTCCCGCAAGGATTGGATCTTGGCCCTGTGCCATTCTTATCAATGACCTAGAAGAGAATATAAAATCATCACTCAAAGTTTGCAGTTGCCACAAAGATTGGGGGTGGTGTTAACTAATAAAGTGTCAGTAGAATCAGGCTCCAGCACTGGGAGTCTGGGAAGTTTTCCCAGCCCTGGCTGGGGGGTTATTTCCTGTTCCACAAAGAGGGGAAGTTCCATTCCCAACTCCTGTGTCTTGAAATTAAGACCTATCTCACACTACACCCCATATTCACCATAGTGGTAGGATTATAATATGATTAGGACATAATTATGAGGTATTTTGTGCAAGATGCGTCATGTGCAGGGTCATTGGAAAAGTTATAGTTTGTATCTGAAGTTATGGATATTGACTATGTATCTGTATTTCAAATGTGCTTACTCTGGGTAACACCCACAACGAGCCTTTCAGGTACAACAATGAACAAGCCAGACAGTGCTGATGGCTCATCAACAAAGACAATGGACCGTGGAAGAACTTAGCCTTCCTGTGAATGTTCCAGCCAGCCTATGAGTCATGGCTACAGCAGGGCATGCTAGGGCATGTGACCAGACCACATGACAATGAACTCCATTTTGGTACCTGTATTTTTCCACAAAGGGGACTTGGAACTGAGTTTGGAACAAAGGGTTCCTGCCATATGCAAAAGCTACATAAGGTGGGGTGTAACATCATCTCTTGGCCTCATTCCCCAGACATGAGAACTCCTGGAAGCACCTGAGGAACAAA